CACCCCAGTCTGGGATCGAATGCAGCGACAGTCGGCTGCGAAGCCTGACCTTACGAGGCGGTGTGAAAACAATGTTTCGGATTAGATAGATCTCGATCTCGGTAGTAATTGATTTGTTAGCCGGAGGAGATCGAACGAGATATTCGTTAGTATCATCGAAAACGACAACAAATCGTTTTCGTCATTATCTGGCTTGAGATCTGGATTGAGCGTAGACCTACTCACTCGACAGCTCGCTTCTCCCCACTTGTCTCGCTGTCTGTCTGTGATCCCAGACGACAGAGCGACGGGGTGCCGTCATCAAAACATAAGTAAACAACTATTGAAATACACCCATTGCGAAGCTAGATAACATCGGATAACTTGCTGACAGAGGCTTGACCTCTAACTCGAGACGGATGTTCGGAGAACAGGGATGGATGCATACGTACGTACAAGCGCGCCTATCCGGCCGGCTATCCGCCGTCGACCGATCCACCAATCCTCTCGAGTGTGTATTATTATTTTAGCTGACCGGTAAAATCCGAAGTTCGCTGTCTGTCCACCATCCGCCGTTCTGGGCCCAGGGGCGCCCCGATAAAGTCATGCCGTTTTTTTCGTTCTTTTTTCCTTCACTCTCGATTGCTTATTCGTTGTTTGCTCGCTGAAGTCGATTCGAAGCAGCAACCTGCCCTGCATGTTGTCATGAAGTGCTCAGCCGGTGTTTGATTTACATGGATGGTCTCAACGTGAGATCGACAGGCAACAAACGCTCCGTGCATTGAGGAGAGGGAATGAATCCGCGCTCGAGTTTCGGCATCCTTAAACATATATTGGTTTGCAGCAGGATCGACATATTGTCCGATATTCGGTGCACCAGGCCATTAACGAATTCACACTCAGGGCCTTCAGCGAGCGTCTCTCTGCAGTGACTCGAGGACTCGAGGATAATTTCTGGAGACCGCACCGATCCCTGGGGGCAAGAGTCTACAAACAACTAGCAAGATCCCCGAGGCGATTGTGACAACAATTCCCAGATCTTCTTATGCACAGCAATTGACTTTCCTGGGCGGAAAACTGTCCTCGATCCTTGATCGAGACGCTCGCGGAGTCTCTGAGAAACTTCGCACTGAAGCGAGGAGATGAGTGAGCTACCACTCCGATCTCGAAACAAGCATCACACCGAAAGGCTCCGGTCGTCCAACACATGCGGCTCGAGCAAGGGACTCCCCCCCCCCGCACGTATTTCCGCAGAGGTTTTGATAGCGTCACCAGCGAGGTTCGCGAGTTAATGTTAGTCAGGTCGCCATCCAGAATTCCCGTCTAGACCTCCGAAGAGGGAGGCTTTCCTCGAGAGAAGGCGTGATCCGAGCTGCTGGCGGTTACTCCTAGATGTCAAGTCCCTGGGATCTGGTCACGAAATCCGCGTTTTCGCGACATACGGCATCTTGAGACTGCACGATATCGTCGTGCAACGTACAATTCTATCGTGGAGCCGGGAACCATTGAACCCGACATCTCGGAGTAGAGACGTTCTCCAAAAGCAGAGAAAGTTCATGTAGCCAAGGGCGTTCTCTGCGATCACCTCGTTCAGCTCACTCAAAGTCGATTATTCTACCCTAATTCAATCTCTGCGAGGAATCCCGCTTTCTTTTGCGAAGGTCCTGATCTATGAATGCACCGCCAGGGGCAACACATCAGGATTTCAGACTCGACTAAGCGAATGGAATAGTTATGCTCGAGCATTGACATCCTACCTACTCGCTTACGTGTTGCGGAGAACGAATTAGATGGCTCGATTTAGGTACGAAATCCCACGGTCAACCCATCTTAATCTTAGTCAGTGGAACACCTCGGGTATCGTCGTCGAGAGTCCATCGCGGATGCGATACTTTTCAGCGTGACCGCACTGTGACATGACAAAATTACTCCTCGTTTGCCTTTGGGACTGGGAGTGACCCACTGTGTGGTAGAGTTCACAGCGTCGCTTACTGACCCTTCGGACCAGGAGCATTCGAGGACGAGATCTATGATATTTCACCACGGAGCTCCCGTATTTCTGCCTGATCAGATCGGCTTATATTGACAAGGGAAGAGATTCCATTTGAACGAGTCAATGGAGCCCCAACTATAATGCCGGTAGCGAGAAAAATGAGATGAGCAGCTCGAAGTGCTCGACAGTGATCGTTGGGCATTTGAATCCATAGTGAAAGACTAGCCCAATGAAAATTGAACGGATTTGTTCCCGAATGGGGAATACCCGAATGCCGGGCAGAAGGGGACGAGAATCCACTGTGCATTCGTCTAGGCGCGATACGCTTTCAACATTCGATATCAGAGACTTTTGGCGGTTTCTCCGAGCTTCTTGTGGCGAACCGAGCCACGTAACGAGGTAGGCACCTAGGGTTCGCGAGGCCACGATAGGCTATCCCGGAGTGCTCTTTTAGAGAAGCGCGGTCACCCTTTGGTGTCCTATGAGGTGCTCCGTACTGAGGTGTCGGATCGAGGCTCTGACTGTTCCTAAATGTTATTCTCCATCTGTCTCGGGTTTTGTCTCGGATTTCTACCGAGAAACGACATAATAAATCAGGTCATGCTAGAAAAACTATTTTCTCGGCCGTTCTCTAGATGTCGCCGCTTCACAGCAACAACCAACTGCGCTAGGAAGTTCACTTTGAGATGAAATGACTTCGTGGCCAGCGGTCGCCTAGCTTCTCGGGAGCGTCCCAACTATGCACATCGGCGCTTCCGTGCGGAATGTCGGTCCTAATCCTCATCCGAGATCACCGCTCGCAACGACGTGCACATGACGGATGTAGACATTCTGATCAAACCCAGATTGCGTCATTGACGGAGCCAACGACGTCGTAGCCGACGAAGGCCGCGAGGACCCGGAGCGCTCTTCCTAACAGTCGGTGAGGTGTTGCTCGGGCAGGAGACGAAACACAGAAGAGACCACAACTCGTTGAAGGTAGGTTGTTAGGATTCCATCGTGAAAACGATTTTGTTTGACTGACTAGCTGCGGCCAGACGCGGTAGATTCGATAGAAGATCAGTAGATGTGTACCTATGCAGAGTGTGAATTTGACTGACGTCGGAAGAAAGCCGAAGAGAGAAGCTCAGCCGCTACATCAAAAGTAGGTTGTTACTCAATTCTCTGACTTCTTGGGGTTGCAACCCTCAGGTCACGGCTCGTTTGAAAAGCCCCGCTCCGTCTACCGTGAGTTGGGTGCTGACTCTCACACACAAGATGAGATTCGGAGCGCTTGAGGTGCTCGCGCTTCGTGAAGAATATCTCTCGCAACTTTTCAATCTCTCACGGTTGGTTTATGAAATGAGTTTGTTGCTCACCGACCCGCTAGAAAGTCTGTTTAGATCGACTAGTTGCCGACACGGATCCGCGCTTTCGACCCGATAACTTTCGCGAGAGCGAACTTTGCCGTAGCTGACAAATCTGACTGTCGGTAGTCTGCCGATGACTTGAGAACTTCTCGGAGCTCAGAAAAATCGGACTCTAAGCCGGCAGAAGGCTCATCGAGACTAGCGACGTGAGTCTATCGACAGAAGTCCTTCGAAAAAACCCGTTGTCTCCGATATCAGGCTCGTTTTCATACCCCAAATCGAGATGCCGATTTGACGTATTTCTGAGCTGTCACTCGGGGCCTTGTCCTGAAAGTTCTGAGTAGGGGTCCGCATTGATTTGGTTGTCCGTACAGCTTGCGCTTCGAGGGAAAAGATCGAATTTTTTCTCGAAAAGAGCATCCAGAGCATTTAACATCGACGTCCGGTCGAGGGCAATTTCTTTAATGAGCTAAACAAGCTCGATTACCCTTTGGTGGAGCCGCTGATTGCTGGGGGTGGCCGTGATCTTTGCTGACTAGTTTAACCGATCGGACCCATATGCCTAATGCTTTCGGTCACCGGAGAGCCCACTGGCTAAGCCGCTGGTCAGCGAGAAGGTCGAAGTTTAACGGTCCGCGGTTTGGTCGATCTAAAACGATGAGCGTCCTTCTGGAGGACCATGCCCCCAGGACGAGGGAATTCTTCCACAGTATCGGAGCTCAATGATTTCGAGATCGGTTCCCACAGCTTCTCACTCTGGGTCAGAAAGCGTCGTCGAGATTTCGGTGAATCTTTTGAGTGCGACTCCGAATCCGCATCCGCGCCCATGTACGTCAACAGCGCAGCGAGCACCGGCAGGCGGCGGCGGCGGCTGTCGCTGCCTGTACGCGCTTCGCTTGGGAGTGTTGTGCTTCTGAGAAATCAGAGAACCTCGTTTGGACCTACTCCGCATCGCCCTACGGGTAACTCTCGAGAATGAAGCTGACATGGTCTATTTGTCATTTTGAACAATGATTGAGCAGAGTGGACTGGTGCTCGATCGGAACCCAGAAAAAAAACGAGCCCGCGCTCAACGAGGCCGTCTCAGGGCTCACTCGCGAGCCCTAGTCATTGAACGCGCGACTAGATCATGAAATGACGCCGCATTGTGTTCTCAGGGCATTTGTCATCTGTCATTCGAACTGAGTGACCTCTTCCACTCGGCCCGATGTCGTCAATCACAATAGACTAGATAGTTGGTTCATCCATCCCCAGCCACAAAGGTAGATTAACCCACTGTAAGTAGGGGTCCCACGCGGTTCGGGCGGTGGCCGATTTGATTTAACGAGTCAAAGTCCGATTATTGATTGTGTACGTGGTTGGGCGAATGCTCGGTATCCGCGGCACACCATGAGCCGGAGCCTTATACTCTCTGAATATTGGGAATCCAGGAAGCAAGCATGGATGGCCTAGGAAATTTCGACTGGTCACGGCCCAGTGATACACGGGTACAGGATCCCGAGCATTACTGGGAATGAGATGTGTATACCGCTTTCAAAATACGCTTTCGTCTCGCCTCTAACATGAGATAGGTTTCCGCTCCGGGTAAATAATTAATAATCCGTGGCTGATTCTGGACAACGGATTCCGCAGTCCATTTCTATCTTTATTTCTGCCTAGAGAGTCACAATTCACAATAGGCGGTCGCAACTCTTCACTCGGGACGATTGTCAGATAAATCTGCCATACTTTTCTCACCAGGGTGATTCGCTGTAGCCCTCTGCACGCCCTGATTCGACATCCAGGACAAATAGATATTCCAGAACAACGCTATTCCGCTAGCGAATAGAATCCTGTACGGCAAGGGCACGAAGTTGAAGTTTATCACTTGGGCAGCTGGCCAAAGCATCCAATTCGATAGTATTACCGTGACGGCATCGTGCTTTATTGTCTCAATGATCTCATCTGTAATCGGTTATGGAAGACATTGAGCTTAGAACCAGCATTGAGTTAATAAATCATGCGCCAATACAGCACGCGTAACAGGAAGCCGCTCGGGAACCATCGAATTCACCTGATTTCTGCAAATGCACAGCACCGGCCACCGCCAAGAATCCGGGTAGGAAAATCGGCGCGAAAATCCCCTGATCGATGGCCATCATCTTCATGGCCCGGTATTTCGCTTCTTTCGGCAGGAGACGATCCAGCCGATAGTACCACGTGCTCAAGACTGGTCCCACGTAAATGAGACCGATGAAAAAGAATCTGCGGATATTCATAATTTACTCAATTTCATGTCTGCCTCGATTAGCACGAGAGATGATTTTGCTTCCGAGTATGGCTGACAGCTCGCGGCGAGCACCCGGGAAAGAGCAGTGAGGTACCTGGCAGTACGCTTGAAGTCGATCGAATCCTTCTCTTCGATAGCTTTCTGAGCGATAACGTCTCCTGCCGCCATCAGAGTAGCGGTTGTGACGATCTGCGTTGTCTTAGGAGACGAAGTGTTCGCTCTGTGATAGGCTCGGAGCAGGAAAAATCGATTCATCTCCCCCTCTGTGAGCTCCGGATGCGGAGTACGACCACCCTCCCGATGAGTCGAGTCGGAATCGTTCAGGAACTCCTTGAAACATTGGTCATCATTTCGAGTCAAGTATCGCCCTATGCGCGGACCAGCTGATTTACTGTTCGAATTCATGACTTTTTTGCCGTCGGGCGTTTACTCCGGTGCACTTTGTGGGCTCCAAAATCAATGACCTCTGGCATGACTCACATGGGTCCAGATTCTGAACCCATATGAATCCAGACTCCACTAAGGACTCCAGTGCTCCGAAAATTCTCAAAAGATCTCATCGATTGGATCGAACCTACTGTTCAAGCAGAGCACCGTTGCCGAACGAAGAGAGCGCCGCCTAGTGCGCCAACTCCAGAACACGAGCATGCGGATCTTTCGTCTCACTTGCACAAATAAGGCGTACCGCGTCAATGTCGAAGACTTTCGGAAGATCGGGATGTCTTCTTCGAACTATGGCCCCGATCTTGCGCTGAGATAATGCATGACCCAGGAAAACCGCGTGCGCTCAGCATCACATCGACACGCACCTGGGATTCGAAGCGGTGTGTCGGGCTTTAAAACCGATTCCAGGGATAGCGCGGCGCATGGAAGCATCGTGGAATTCTAGTTCGGGAGCGAGACTTATGCCATCGAGCTAGTATCCTAGCTGCAGAGGACTGCATTCCGGGATCGATTCTCTTCGACTATCTCGCGGATCGGTCGAGATGTGACGACCTTCAATACATGCAGACTCGGTCCTCGGCTAAACGTTTGACGGCCGATGAGACGATTCGCTTATTGTAAGCCTCCCCCGAGATAGCATGACGATGGAGGATACAGCATCATGTGTAGGTATATGGAGGATAGTCGACAGTGGCGGATCCGAGGGGGGGGGGCAGGGGGCCATGCCCCCCCAAGAATCTTCGATCCCTATACGAAAGCATGGGCCGCGAGGTGGCGCGTCATCATTTTCGGCTCTTTCCCCCCTGAAAATATGACTTGGCCCCCCTCAAGAAAAAAAGCTGGATCCGCCCCTGAGAGTCAAACGCTATCAAACTCAGGCGATTAGTCTCATGGGGGACGGCGAGATGGATGGCTGAGGATACCGAGAACCGGAGATCAACCGCAATAAATGACAAATATTCGAATTGGAAATAGGAATTGGAATAAATATTGGGGGGATCTAGCCTCGCGACTTTTTCTTTTGACGAAGACGTCGGCACCGATTCGCTCTCCCCGTCTTCTTTCACGGCGCGCGAACTTTGTTGCACGAGCTCACTGTACCATTGCCGACAGGCTGATTCTGGGGCGTACTTTTCTCCTCACTCTGGTCTGGCTTGTTCACGCGGCTCCGTTTCACAATCAGAATGAATTGTCTGCTTCCCGACCGCACGATGCACGAGTGGCTGCTCGTCTGAATATATGGGGACATCTGATGCCCCTCCAGTCTCCTGTGATACCCGAAATCCGGAGCATCTCCAAAGCGCTACAGGTGTCATTAAAGTCGACACTTCCAAGCTTTTTTGACAACGTCTCCGGAATGGCCACGTCAAATCTCCATCCTCATCACGCTCGGGTCGCTGTCTCGGAGCCGCTAGCCGTCTCTTCCCCTCAGTCACCGAGAAGGGTGCCGGGAAGCCGATGTTTTCCATTTTATACGGGCGATTACCGCAGGGAAGGTACCCTCAGGGTTAGGCCTGCCCTCGTTCGCACCAATCCCTCGTGGAGGGCCAGCAAGGTGGAGAATATATCCATCCCCGCAGACAAGTTGCTCTCGAGCATCTGATTCCCTACGGGCTTGAAATATTCTATCGATGTTTTTCTCGTATTCCCCTGCCGAGCGTCTTTTGGCCGCACTGCGAGGGGCTATAGTGGCCTGAGGCGCGCATTTCGCGTGCCAGGCTTCAACCAATAACGGCTTGGAGGATCTTCTTCGGCATTCGTTCGAACAAGGTCTCCTTACGGAATCCCTCGAGAAGCCTTTCAGGAGATCGGGAAGAAAAACCGGGCGATTTTCTACGGTAGTCCATTGCAACGCGACTCTCAAGGTAGCCGGGTGCCTGACTCGGACCGGTGAGCTCCCGCTCAACACAGATTCTTCCTCTCAGGAAGGGTCTGAGAAGCTGTTTGGAGCGATGCGAGCACTCTGACCCCTCGGATGTCCATGAAATATGTAAGCTGGGCAAGCGACATTTCATCCTCCCCACTCTCACTTTGTCACTGTTTATCCGTCAGATGGAGCCGTTTGGGATAAGAGGAGCGCATTCTCGATGTTACTTGGTCTCTCTGAATGAAAGCACAAAAGTAGAACCTATAACGAGCCTCGTGCAGCCCCACAAGAGAGAACTCTCGAAGCTCCGTAACACAGGAGAGTCCATGAGAGCGAAAATCAGTGTACAGCACGCCTGGTCACTTCCGCGCGGCGGGTTCGGTAAGTAGCTCGTTCGAATGGCTGTGTGAGCCACGTGAAGCGAGGGCATGCTCACTTTGACTGCACATTGCTGCTAATTCGTTTCAGGAAGTAAAGTTGCTGACTAGCATATGACACACCGGCTCTCGTACCCACGCACACACGGACGACTGCACAAGGACACCTCGACCAGCCGTGATGAGGCATTACTTGAAGCCCTATGACGGGTCACGTCGCTGAAAAAGTCGCTTGTCGAGTTCACAACCTACGGATTGAGCCTCTAGAGTCTAGACTCTAGACACTAGACGAGTCTGATGAGTGCAATCACTCGTTGCCTCGCATCCTCACCCATGGAACTCCACCAGGAGTTAACTTGGGGATGTGCATACGACGCATTCCCGATATCGCGTAGAGGATTCTATACTCGAACGCAGGAATTCGGGAGGATAAGAATGGAGATGAAGTCCACGAGACAGACTTTCGGCTCACGCGATCCGACGGGATGACCTTACATTGTGGGAGCTCGACTTCCCGGAACTCGTCGAGAACTCGAGACGATTTCTTCTCACCGGCCAGTCCCCGGGCTCCTGCAACGCAGGATTCGAGGATGAATATTCTCTCCGGTCGACAGAAGAATACCTTTAGTGGACCTGCGGTGAATAAGGCGAGGATTTTTCCACGGTCGACATCCCTACGTGATTCCTCTGAGCCAGCCCCTTGCACGATGCGTTATTCGACGGCTCGGGATTGAAAGCTCTGGCTCCAGTCGGAGTAGAAGTGAGGCGGGCGTAGTGCAATCAACAATGTGGTCCCACTCCGCCCAGATTCAACTTTGCTTCACAACTTGGCGAGTTCGAGGTCAGCCGCCGCACCCAAAAACGAAAGTTTCGCTCGACTTTTGACTTTTCAGTTTCACCCAAGGCGTCCATTTTACGTCAGGCTGGCGAACTTTTGGATGCCGCGTGATATCTCGCCTCGGAATCGCGATGGTTCCTTTGTCTGAGCACCATCGAATAGGTAAGATTCCATGGTTACATGACTGGTATTACCTGATTCGATCGGGAATGCTGAGCGCTAACAGGAATCGTTCCTTTGGGGTGATTTCACGGAGGGACCCACGATATGGATTCCACGGATAGTACGCAAAATATATAGATAGCTGCACTAGGGGCGTCTTTCAAAGCGAGGAAGTGCGCAAAAGGGTGCCGGATCACATTCACGCTCCAGCCTTCATGTGGAAGGCGCGCTGGACGCTCGGCCCATACGACGGCTCTCAAGCAGAGTTCGAAACTATGCAGTTGCTCGACTCGAATCCTAATAAGGGGGAGGGGGGATAGACGCTGATGTATGATTCATTTTTCGCATTCTCATCCAGGCTGGAGTTCCCTGAAGGTCGGGCTCCACTGTGCCCACGGCGAGGTGGGCGCAGAGAGGGGGAGGAGAGGGGAAAAGGGTAGGCGAGGGGACAAGGAACGGGTGATCGGTCTCTATTAGCCGGACTGGGAGCGAAACATGGACAGATGACAGCGACTTTGTCCGAGCCGTGTAGGGTCACGCAACGTAACACGCCTCTGATTTGAACTGAAGCTTGTTCCGATGCTCTTTTGAAGCTTTAAGGTTCGTGAATCAACCTCCTTTCAGGACTGATCCCCTTTGGAAATTCGACCCACGGTGCTCGGAGGGATTCCTGTACTCTCGGGAACTCAGAGGGTCGTGTTTCTGGAAACAAGTCAGGTTTTAAGAAACTTTAAAATTATTCGGACTGATGCCCGGAACTCCCTCGACAACGAACCACCTCTGGCGAGAAAATTATAGAGCATTTGACTTCAACGCCTGTGCGACGGCGAGGATTGAGTCAACTTGCCGTCCTTGGGATGAAAAGTGATCCTTGACGGTGGCGGGCTCCGGATCCTCCACGTACCGTGCTACTGCAAAGTACAGAGCGCTTGCTAGCCGTCCGTCCGTCGTGCACATACTTTGGGAAATTGCTTCCGCTCAGACTTGGGCAGCGGGACAAGGGTGAAAGATAGTCAGCGAACGTGGCAGGGAAAAGCCGGCCCCGACAAAGAACGTCGGCAGTAATGTCGGTGTTTCGCGAGCAACTCTGGAATCATAGCTAAGCTCGCTCCGGGCTCTCATCTCGCCCTGAGAATTTTCGTAAGCGCTCCGAGATCCCTTCTCCCGAAGTGGCGCTCGTGGACCACAGCGGTCCGGAAAAGGAGAGCGTTCTGAAACAGTGATAATTTAGCAGGACATTGAGATGGGTCGGCAGGTCAGACTGGAGCTCAGCTGGACAGGATGTCGCTGCAGTCCGTTGCTCATTCATCAGGAAAAATATTGGGATAGGTGCGGCGCCGGCCTCGGCGTCATTCATTGGAAGCTTTGTCCTACCCCCGATAAGAATGTGACTTCAAGGTATCATTGTGACGTGATCAGCATGGTAGCGGGTTCCACATGGTCAGGGTCGTCCCAGCGGAACGCTTTTTGTGTCAAAGCTCGCAGCCCCTACGTCTTCCCTCCGCCCTCTGATCCTCATTCAATGGACGTTCTCTGTGACCTTCTACGAATGACACCAGCGATTGTGAGCGACAGCGGAATGATATTTAAAAGCTTCACAGAGTCTCTTCGAGACTCACAAAGTGATTCATTCGTCCGAGTGACTATGAGGCCAAGCAAGGATTGGATTGACGCTGATGCATGACGTCACGTACACACGTCTTCGGGCTGTGATGGGTATTCTTCCTTAGCATGTGGATATCTCGTTTTGAACTCTCATAGCGTCCCATGGCGCAGCGGAAAGGGGCCTAGGGAATATCTCCCTCCATACGGAGCCCCCATAGGACATCGACTGACGGAAGTCACGAATGATAAGATATTA